CCCATATTTCTTGATGCAAATTTCACATAGTTGATTTAGCTAGAGGAGGGTAGAGGGCATAATAATAAAAACAAATAACTTTTTGAGCATTTACTGCATACCACGTATTTCCCTAAATGCTTTGCCTTTTAACTCTAACAATGATCATATGAGGCAGGAACCATTATTTCCCCATTGTACAGATAAGGAAACTGAGGTTAAGTGTGCCAGTAGTTGACCTAACTCCAAAGTTCAAGGTCTTAACTACAAAGTGATGCTGTCCCAGTAAGGCTACTGGGGTCCAGAAGAGGGAGAAAACAATGGAAAAATGAGTGAGTTTGGGAAGGAGGATGAGAGACTAAGGAGAATTTACTGCCAGCATACACGAGTCCATACCCATGTGGACACTGGAGAGTCAGGCGCACAGCATCTTATAGCCTGCATACAAACTTTCCTGATGTACAGCCTGCTGATGCCTGTGACAAGTGGAAAAGGCTGCTCTTCAATCCTGAATTCCCACTCAGACCCCAGCCCAGTTCTCTCCACAGGGATCGACCGTGGAGCTCTGCAGGCAAGCCTGGAGGAGTGGCCCCTCAAGGACTGAGGAAGAAGAGAACCGTCAAGATATACTGGCTCATGAGCTGAAGAGAGGCCAGCCTAAGAAAAACAACCTGCTGAGCTACTAGGAGGATGGAGGGCTGAGCAGTCCACTCAGCTCCCTTTCAGCGCAATAAGGAAAATGATCTATTCAAGGACGTCTTGTAGGTGAGAACGAGAAGTCATTCCACTAGGTTTCATGGGTACCATGGTTACTAAACCTAGGTAAAGGCAATTACCTCCTCTTTTCCTCCCATGATCAGAGTAACAAAATAACACCAGTAGAAAATTTGGGAAGGCTAAGAAAGAACAAAGAAGGAAGAAACAACCTACCACCCAGCATTGACTACAGTTTTGGCACATTTCGCATCACAGCTAAAGGATTTAAGCTATTTACCACAAAGGCTATGGTTCTAGCAACTGACCATTTGATGGTCCATTTCTAAACACTCAGGGTTAGCAGTTGCTGACCATTTACATGGAGGCCGCAGAACAATAGTCCCCTCATCAGGTACTAGAACTTTAGCAGCAAACTGCTAAATAAAACCTCAGGGCTACTACTGAAGTCCGCAGAGGTTTTTGGTTCTGAGACCTGAAAGGAATCAGGCTGGGTCTACAAGTGGTCAGACTGAAATTGGAAATTGAAAATGCAAGTCATAATATCGTTTAATGTCCACTGTGGCACTGGTCTTGTCGATAAGAAGATAGGGCTGTTGAGAATCCTATGGCAAGCCACGTCTTGGAACTTTTTGCAAGGGCTAACAGAGTTCAGAGAAGGGTGCCATTCACTTCTCCAAAACCTCAAGCCAGACCAGGTGTGGATGCCCAGTAAAGGCAGCTTACCAGAAAACAAAGTCTAGGATGGACCGCAAAGCTTCACGGCTTTAGTTCACGCCATTCTCTCTACCTGGCATGTCCTCCCTCCTCCGTTCTCCACCTGGAACCCTCCACTCATCTTTCAAGGCCCATCTCAGTTATGATCTCTGGGAAGTCTTTCTCTTTCCCCACCTCTCAGAGTATAATTAATTCCAGACTCCATTATGTTTTGTGAGCACTTTGAACATTCTTTACTCTACAGCATGAGTTATTTACTTGCCTTCCTCCCCTCTGTAGATGGTGTCCTGCTAGAAAACAAGAACCCACTCCTAGTCATCTTTACATCCCCAAGGCCTGACTTGTAGCCACTTAATAAGGGTTTGATAGATGATAGATAAATGAACAGTCAAGGATGGAGAGAAGCCAAAATTTTTGAATCTCCCTAGTGTCAAGCATAGGGCCTAACATAAAGGAAATGCTCAATAAATACTTTTGGAATGGAATGAAGAGAACCAATGCCTAAGTGGCATTTCACTTATAAAGCTTTTCCATGTTGCAATTTCTTTGTTTACAGAACAGAAATAATGATAGCGTAACCACCTGAAAATCCTTCACTGTAGGTATTGAATCAATGTTCCATAACCATACCCACACCCATCACTGAGGTCTTTGAATTTCTAGAAAGAAACAAATGATGAAACAAATCATGGTCCTGTGCCTTGACCAAAATATCATCTGTCAGATAAATAGACCAGATAAATAGACCAATGAAATAACATTAGTATCTCCTACAATATGTAAATAAATGATTATGTATACTGCTCAGGAAGTTGCTGTGAAAGTTCTAAGTAAATTTCACCTACACCAAATTAAAAATGGAATTGAGTATTTTCCCTCAGGAACAGAGTTTGAGAAATGAAAATTCCTTTAAGTTTTTTCTACTTATTGCCTAATTATACATCTACATATTTCTGCAGTATTTCAAAGATTTTAGTTCTAGCTTTTATAATAAAAAATCAACCGCTTTATCATGACCACATGTCTCCAATAAGACCTTCAAAGGCCTCGTTACATAAGATTGCCTTTAAACAATTTCCTTTCCCCAAAGAAGGAAATAAGATATTTCAGTTTTTTAAAAGAGGCAAAACCTGGTCAAACCAGGAAAAACCTGGCTCGTTTCCTGGCCGAGACCTAGCATAGGTAGGTGGGTTCTTTTATTACCTGTGGAATATAATTACTTACGTGGAGTGAAATAAGGAGCCGTCCTTTTCTAAGTAGCCTTCATAGTGGACTAACATCAAATCGCCCCCCTTGGTCTTGCGATGGCAGATGAACGGCTTCTGGAGAACTTCAATCTTCACCTCGGGTTCAGGGATAAGAGCCCCACTCAAACAAGGGATCAACAGCGTCAGGGCCGCGTTCCACAAGAAAAGCCTCATCTTGCTGGAGCAGGAAAGAAGTTCCTACTAAAACAGAGAAAGGGTCCCCGACCTCATTGAGTTAAGAATGTAGTTGAAGGCTTGAGCACAACGGTCTCTGGCAAGTTCATGACTCCCCCTTCCTAGCAGACGTGGCACATTTACTACCGACAACTTTCCCACGCACTACGAACTCGCCTCTAAAGAGTTAAGCCCAAACCCAGCCTGACTGGCTCTGACACGCGACTGCCTGAGAAGGACGGCCTCCCATTGGCTTTCGGTGCTGTCCGTCAGGCGCCTCTCAAGCCAATCACGCTGCAACAATATAATTCACAGCCCGACCCAGCGGGGCAGTGGCCCCGCGGCGAACCACCCGGAATGGTCCTAGAGCGCCGCGGGTTAAAGAATTCCACACCCTCGGACTTGGGCAGAGGGGTGGGGCAAGTGGCTAACCGGAAACTCTTCCGGGCGATTTACATCTGTGAAGTACAGCGGCTGAGCGTGGCGGGGCCTGGGGAAACCGTAGAGGTTTCAGGAAAGACTCGCTTACTCTTGTCGTTGGTGAGAGGCCTCCTAGGATTCCACAATCTTAGACTCCAGCTATTGCTTATTATTTAATTTACAGAATAAACGATAAAGACTTAGTGTTTTAGAGGTCACAAAGCGCGTTCCTGTGCGTGAACCTCGCTATAAGGCAGATTCTTTTATCCCATTTAAAAGATAAGTATATTTAGGCTAGGAGAGGTTGTGTCCTGCTGAGGGTTGTTCCACCTCAAAGTTGAGTTCCGCCTTCAAACCAGGTCTTCTGATTTATTCTACAACACCTATCACTTAGGTGACGTTAGAGGGTCAATTACAGCTTCTATCGAGGATAAGGACGTGCAGACCTCCGCTTTAAAGAAGAAACAGTAAACACGGTTACGAGTCACACAGGCTCATCTTAGTTTAAAATTTTTGCTTTTACATTTTTCACCTAATTTCAAAAGCAATACATGTTCATTGTAGTGGATTTGGAAGAAACTGGAAAGCACTCAAGTAGGGTCTCCATTTAAAATACAGGAGCCGAATTAATTGGCATTTCAGATAAACAACAAATGCATTGTTTTGTATTTTTATTTGCTAAATCTGGCAACCTTACACTAGAGAAAAAGAAAGAAAAAAGATTGCCTACAAGGCCACCATCCACAAATAATCATCTTAACATTTTGGAGCTTGCTTCTGTGACATATGCATAAAATAATGTGGATCACAGTGTACACTTTGTTTCATAACCTGCTCCTTCCACTTAATCTATAGCTTACATTTTCCCTGGTCAAATATGTTTAGCACAGTACTTTCTTACACTTTAATATGCATAGGAATCCTCTGGGGATCTTCTTAAAGTGCAGATTTCAATTCAGGAGGTGCGGGCTTGGGGCGACATTCTGCAATTCCGGCAAGCTCCTAGGTGATGCCAGTGCTGCATGGACCACACTTCCAGTAGCGAGGCGTTAGCGTTTAGACATCTCTTTACACTGGCTACACAGTATTCTATCATGAAATTTCCATCATCTCCTTAAGCCCTAGGTGATGGGCACCTCAAGTGGGATCATTTAGACAGCCTTGAAATAAGAACTGGACCCTGCGGACCAGAACCCAAGGGGCACCCTAAGGGGTCACGTCAACCCACAATAATCGGGAGGGGGGACCCGACCCATCTACGGCACCATTAACAGTCAGGACTGTTTCCCACACTTGTCCCAGAGGTCTCCCTTCTCACCCACTGCCTACTCCCAAACCCGCCACCCAGGACTCAATTTCTCCGCAGACCCCTCAGGCTCCATCAGCTCCGCCGCCGCCGGCGCTACGAAACCGCGGAGTGGATTTTGGGAGCGTGAGCGCGAGCGGTGCACTGGGCATGCGCGAACGGGCCCGGGCTCGGCGGACCGAAGACTCAGGTAGCGCGAGGTGGCGCCGCCAGCGACCGGCTGTCTCGCTCGCGGCACTTGGGACTCTTCGGGTGCCTCTCGGGCCCACCCAGTGCCTGGGCCTCCCTGTGGACAGCGCGTGCCCCCCGCTGCGCCGGCCCCTCGGCCTGCCGCGTCCTCACGTGCCGAGGCCGCCGCAGTGACCCCGCCCCCGGGCCGAGGATGTGAGACGGGCCGGGCGTCCCCGCACCGGGCCCGGGCGCCGGGAGTGGGCGGCTCGGCTGGGCTGGCGATGGCCCTGCTGCCGGTGCTCCTCGCCGCCTGGGGTCTGGGGCAGTGAGGGCCGGCGGGGGCGAAGGGGCCGCGGGCGCCATGGAGGGGGTGCTGTACAAGTGGACCAACTATCTGAGCGGTGAGTGGGGCGCGCCGGGGGCCCGGCCCTTTGTCTGAGCGGCCGGCGGGCGGCCTCGGGACGCGCCTCCGGGCTCCGGGTCACGGTCCCTCCCGAGACCTTTGGAGACCTGTGCCGACCGGGAATATTTCCCTAAAGCAGTTCTCTCGCAGGACCGTGTCACCTATGCTGTACGGACGCAGCCCCTGTTGGGGCTGGGCCAGGGCAGTAGCTGCCCTCTCACCTAAGGAAAGCTACGAAAGGCTGAGAGTGGGGATGACTTGAAAGGCACGATGCCCTCCGGCTGTGCTGGAGGAAGGCGCTGACTCCCGCAGTGGGGTCTTCTGGGAATCTCTCGAATTCTGGCAAAGGAGCTGGTCACGCCTGGCCAGCAGATAGGATGGAAGGTTTCAAATGAATGCCAGCAGTAACCTGGAACTCCAGAGCGGAAAGGTCCTTTTTCAAACAAAGTCGCCAGTGCCAACACTTTCCCTTTGTCGCCTTAGGGTCATCTGCGTGCTGACCGAGGTATCCGAGTTCTATCTCAACAATTTCAAAGCTTCAAAGTATGCACAAGGTTTTCGGTTTTCTGGTTGATCATTTCTTTTTGTTTTACAGACTCAGAAATTACCATAAAATGAATGTAGATCTTAGCAACTGTTTTCTTGTCCTGCTGAGCGGAATAGCTTAAAAATAGTTCTCTGCCCCCTTTCCAATTTGTGGAAGTCCTTAATTAAAGCCTTCTGTTTGCTGAAATCTGTGCTAGGCACTTTTTTGGAATTAAACTTTTTATTATGGAAAATGAGCTATGCACTTTTAATTTTAATAGCAATGTATTTGAAACCAGAAATATTCCCAGTATCTCTTGGGGGGGAGATATATATTCCCATCCTTCCTTTGATAGGATGGCTTTTTAAAGGTTATAGTGTGATGATGCCCCAGGGAGTTTTAAGGACAGATGTGTCTGGGAGGGTCAGTTTTCATAGTGACTCTGATGAGGTTATACTGCACAGCCGAAAGTGCACCTGTTGGGTGTACCCAGAATCTCTTCCCTATGCGTAGTGTGGTTAGAAGTGAGTTCTGTTTGTTTTCCCTGTAGTCGTTAGCAGAGATGCAGTGAGGAGAGGTGTTTTAGAAGTCCCGGCGTTTGCTTCAAGGACCTTTCTTGATGTCACCCGATTGCAGTAGATATGGATAACTCATAGCTGGGCTTCAGTAAATGTCAGAGGCTGATTAACACTCCACTAACCTGAAGGGAGGATGCTTGATCAGGTAATTTTCCTTTTGAGGTATCTCTAAGCTCTGAGATGTATGGATCTTATGCCCTTGAGTAAAATTTAGTTGCTCATCTTTCACCCTTTCCATCATACAAGCTTTTTAGTTTTCTTTCATCCTCAACGCTCTTCTTTTCTTTTCTTCTATCGCCTCCCTCCTTTTTTTCCCCCTTTCCTTTCTTCTTCTCCTTTCTCTACAGAAAGTTTAGTCTCTTGTTACAGTACCTACTTCCTGGTCTTGAAATGCTTTTTTTTTTTTAATGGCTGTTTTTATGTATCCTTCAATAAAGCAAACCTTCTCGAGAAGGATCTTTTGGAGTCTTTATCGTGTGATGCCTGTGCCATCTGTTCTCTTGGAGAAGAGTGTACTTTTTTCTTCAAGTAAGAGAAGGTAATTCTGTGGGTGGTGCTAGGGTGACAAGCCCTAAAGAAGAGGGCCACTGGAGCCATTTCCAGAGGCAGCTGTCCTTCCATCATGCTGCTTGTTCCCTTGGCCCCGTGCTGCCTCGTTGTGGGCGCACTGTTCCTACAAGCCCATCACACCACTGGGTGCTTTTCCTGGATGTACTTAGAACTTTGGTTCAGCACATTGTCTTTCATTAGGAGATAAATTTACTTTGGAAATGAACAGTAATGGCCTAGGAGGAACAAACGCATTCTTGTTTTTTCCACCCTCCTGTGTGAGTTAGTCTCCCCAAAAGAGCATGGTATGCGTGTTAATGACAAGCTTTGATGAAGACATCAGTACTTTTTCTTCTTCTGAAGCTTGTTTTTAAAAGGAACATTTTTTTTTCTTATGGTTTTGCACATAGTAATTTTAAAATACATATAATCCCAGTCTAAGTTTTTGTTCATTCTGAATTTTTCTCTAAAGGCAGTACATAACCTGTTTGTGTAGTTTGTGTATATCTTACACGCCCACAGCTTGATATGGGATGCCTTGTGTCAAATTTGAGTGAAGAAGTTAGAAAATCCAAATATTGGCAGATCCTTTGAGTCCTTGGAGGATGTTGTTAATTTCATTCACTACCTCTTGTGTGCTGGGCCCCGTGCACAGGACAGGCAACGTTGAACAAGACAGAGCAGCCCCTGCCTGCCTTAAGCTTACAGTCTTGTCAGGGAGAAAGACGTTCATTGGACATGTGGTTAGAAGCATGTTCCAAGTGTGTGTGGTTTGGGGGAGAGTTGGGGAGAGGCTAGGCTGGGTTGTTGGGAAAGGCTTCTTTGAGGAAAAGATTTAAGCAGAGCCTGAAGAATAAATAGAAGCTAGCTAGGTGGCAAGGCTGAGGTGGAGGCTGTAAGAAAGAACTTTTCAGGCAAAGGGAATGTCGGGGTGAAGGCCCTAAAGCAGAGCAGAGACGGGTGAGTTTGAGGAAAGGAAAGAAGACTCGCATGGCTGGGCAGCTGAGACGGGTGAGGCTCCAACAAGGCTGCAGGGGCCACTGGGAAGCCTGGCATTGCAGGGCTTCACAGGCTGGTTTGAACACTGCAGTGATTGTGTGTGTGTGTTTGTGTGTGTGTTTGTGTGTGTGAGAACGGGAGAGGGAGAAATGATGCGATTGTTGAAAAGCTTACCTTGGCTGCATTTAACTGTATTTTGCCAAATACTGTAGTTATTTTGTGAGCTTCTCTTGCTTCTTGAATTCAACTGATGGGTTTCAATTCCTGAAAGTTGGAAACATCGTCCAGCCCTGAGAATAGCATCTAAATTGCTAGCATGAGTATACGGCTAAAATACAGAAAGAGAAAGGAAGAAAAGTCTCTGTTCCCTAATGTGTTAGGCATACTCAGGTACCCTGTGCTCCGTCAGAGGAAAATTAAAGGAAAAAGAGAGCTGATGTGTATTTTCTTCAAAAGTCCTGAGCCATCCCACCTTTTGAGCAGCAGAACATTGGACGCTCTGGGATTTATTGTCAAACCTATCTCCAGATGTTAGATTAAGTCTGGAATGGATTAAACATGTCACAGACACCTATATTATGTGAGACACAGTGCTAGGCGCTGTATGTTGGTATTGTATCTTTAGTCAAGGGATGGTATACATGCATGGTGATACATTAATGCTCTGTAGTGGAACACTAGTTGAGGAGTCAGAGACCTCAAGTCTGATACCAGCTCTGTCACTGCCAGCTGCAGTCACGTTACCACTCCGAGCGTTAGTTCTTCCTCCATAAAAATGATGAGATTTACCAGTTAATATTTATAAGACTAGTAAAAAACTTAACACGTATAATGTTCCAGGCACCATTCTAAACATTTTACATGCATTAGCTCATTTAATCTTCACAGCGGTTTTAAGAAGCAGTTGCCTTCATTATTCCCATTTTCCAGATGAAGACATTGAGACACAGAAAGGTGGAGGAACTGGCCCAAGGTCACACAGTCAATGGCTCCAGAGTCAATGCTCCATTACGTAATACTTCTAAAGGCCCTTCCTGCTCCATCGTTATGTAATTCTAGCTGATTCATAATGTACCTATATTTAAAGTATGTTGACCTAGAATGGCAGACTATTTGGGGGTGGAGGTGGGGAAGAGTTGAGGAGTAAGGAAGGCTTTGCCCAGTGTTGTGCATATGTTTTGTCACAAGGAAATTGTCTGAGCTGTGCTGTGAGCTTTCTGCTTTGCAGTTTTAGGTCCCTTTCCACTGCCCACTCAGCAGATAGGAGGGCTGCTGCCATAAGCTCCAGCCAGCTGCAGGCTTCTTGGGCCCCTCCAGCAGGTTAGGGCAAAGCACATTGCAGCACTGCATTCCAAAAATAACACGAGCTTGCATCATGCTGACCAGATGGTTGTCTGAGGAGATGCTATAGTTTTGCTTACCCCCCAGGTGGAGAAGGTGACTCTTGCCCATATATGTTTGTGCTGTGTAAACAATACCGAGAGGACTTCTGGAATGTGAGGGATCCAGAGCAAGATTCTCATGGTCTTACAACCGCTGGTCAACCTTTTTTGTTGCTGTTTTTTGACATCTTTATTGAGATAATAATTCACCTATCATAAATTTCGCCCATTTAAAGTGTGCTAGTCAGTGGTTTTTAGTATATTTACAGAGTGTAACCATCACCGCCGTCAATTTTAGAACATTTGCATTATCCCAAAAAGAAACCCAGTACCCATTAGTAATCACTCCTACCCCACCCGCTCTTTCCTGTGGCAACCGCTACTCTTCTGTCTGTATAAATTTGCCTATTCTAGACATTTATATAAATGGAATTATACATTATGTCATCTTTTGGGACTGGCTTCTTTTGCACAGGACAATGTTTTTGGGTTCGTCAGTGTTGTAGCATGTATCAGTACTTCATTCCTTTCTATTAACAAATAATTTTCCATGTATGGATATACCATATTTTGTTTACCTTTCATCAATTGATGGACATATTTAGGTGGTTCTTTGTGTGTGTGTGTGTGTGGTTATTCTGAATAATGGTGCTGTGAACATTTGTGTCTAGTTTTTGTGTGGATGTGTTTTCATTTCTCTTGAGTATAAACCTAGGAGTGGAATTGGTGGATCATATGGTAACTCTTTTAACAGTTTGGGGAACAGCCAAACTGTTTTCTGAAGTGGCTGCGCCATTTTACATTCTCATCAGTAATGAAAGAAGATTCCTATTTCTCCACATTCTCTACCAGTACTTGTTGTCTGTCTTTTTTACTATATCCATCCTAGTGAGTGTGAAGTGGTATCTCATTGTGGTTTTGATTTATATTTTCCTAATGACTAATGATGTTGATCATCTTTTCA